GGCAAGCCAGGGGTTCCTGGGGGAGGGCCTCTAGGATTCTCAGCCTCTTCTTGCCAGCTGCCTGTCCACACCCAGGGGCAGGGACGAGGGAGCCTGGGTGCTCTGACTTGTGGGTTCTCGCCCTGGCCTGCCCACTGGCTGACTCACAGGCAGCCCCCAGCCCAGCTTCCTGGTGAGGGCCCTGCTGGCCAGTAGGGCCAGGGAGGAGGGGGTCACCAGGCTATTTATAAGAAGGAGAAGTCCCTCCTGCCAGGGCCAAAAGCCCCAGAGAGACCCGTGGGTGGGGGTGGGTGAACTTCCTCCTTATCCAGTCCCCCGGGCCCCAGGGCCCCTGGGCATGAGCAAAGCCTGGGCTCAGACTCCTCAGCCAGAGGCTGGTCTGGAGCCCAAGGCCTGGGCAGTACCCAGCTGCTAGTCTGGGCACCCAGAGCAGACGGAGGAGGGGGCTCTCCTCACACCCTCCTCACAGGCTGGCCTTGGCGCCAGTGGGGCGGCGTGAGGGGGTGGCGCCCAGGCCACAAGGGTGAGACTGGCAGGGGCCTGGAACCGGCTGTACCAGCTCAGCTGGGCCCCCGCCCTCCCTCACTGGTCCAATCCCCACCCCCTGCTCAAACTCCCATGCAGAGTGCATAGAGTGACAGGACCCTACTCTGGCATGCTGGCCTGCCCCTAAACACACCAGCACCCCTCTGCCCTGTGCCCAACCCCATTTATCTCTGGATAAAGGAGACCCTCTGTGCAAAAGTCTGCAGAGCTTGGCGTATGGTTGGTACTCCATAAATGCATCTCTGGTTGTGATTATCCACCCAGAAGTGGCTGACGTTCTATCTCAAGTCCAGCAGTTACAGATGTTGGAACATCAGGCAAGTTCCTTACCTTCCTGGGACTAAGTTTTCTAGTTTGTTAAATGGGGACACAAATGGCATGCATTTTGCTGGGTTGTTGGAAGCAGGCAGGGAGTTATTCTATGTAAACCACTTAGAAGAGTGCCTGACCTATGGTAAGAGCCATATAAGTGTTGGCTATTAAAATAATAATTATTGTTTCTCAATCTGTCTGCCTATCTTCAGTGTCTCTGAGTAGTGCCATCTGTCTGCATGACTCTTACCCTGCATCTCTCCCAGCCCTGACCCCCACCCCCATACATCCCTGCTCGGTTGTTGCCCTCCATCTCTGCCCTCACTGGGCCAGCCTCACCTCTCTCCCTGGCATGGCCAGCCTCAGCACTGGTCAGGGCTGACTCACTATGGCCTCCTGGCCTGTGGGACCTGCAGGTTGGCTTCCTGAGATGCTGCCCTCTGGCCAGATCTGCCCAGCCCCCCAACGCTGCCCGCTGCGCCCCCGCAGGGCCCAGCCAGATGTCAGCTGCAGTTATTAGCATGGGCGGGAGACACAGGCCTGGCAGAGTGCCTGCCAGACTCCGTGGCCACTGGAATCTCCCTTGAGCCTGGGGCGAGGGAGGGGAGTGAGCGTTCAAACAAGAGGAGGGGAGGGGGGTACCCAGGGGTCACAAGGACCCTCCAAAGATGGGGACACCCCCAGCTCTTCATGGGACCTTCCTCCCCAAGGCCACTGGTCTGCTGGACTTCCCCCTGCCCCCACAGAGCTCAGTTTCTCTTTTGCCTCTTTCATTTTCCTTCCCTCCACACTTGGTGAGTTCTGTGTCTGCCCTATGAAGGCTGGCTAGCCCTTCTCTCTCAGCCTCTTTCTACCCTAAAGAAACTTCATGCTCTCCAAAGACAGAGGTCTCTCTCTCTCTCTCTCCCTCGGAGAAAGACAGAGAGGTTAAGATGTGGGGGGGAGTGGAGAGGAAGAGACTGAGCTTCTCACCTCTGGTTCTAGTGGCTCATATCCTATCTGCTTGGAAGTCTCACCTTAGGTCTAACTAGAAGCCTCATCATCTAAACCTTCACTCATTCCTGGGGAAGGGGCTCTGGAGGGGTTCTTTCAGATTCTCCCCTTGGATTTTCAGGTCCCTTCTGTCTGGAGGGGAGGAATGCCCTCAGATGAGGGGGTGGATCCCCCCTTTAGGTATTCTGAGTGGTGAGGAGACCCCCCCACACACGAAAACAGGAATAGGGCCTCTCACGCACATGAGTGAAAGAGGGAGCACCCCAGCCCCTAGGGATGAATGTGGGGAAGGACCCCAGACCTCCTGACAGAAAGCAAGGGCGCCCTGCTCGAGGTACAAGGCAGCCGTGCCAGCCCACCAAGGCGCCAGGGTCGTCTCGAGGCATTGGCCCGCCCCTTCCGCGCCCTGTCGGGTCGGGCCGGGGGCGAAGTCCGACCCAGGCCCGCG